ATAACCTCTGACCTACTTTTGCCGAGAGTCACTCTTAAGCAGCTAAGTTTGGTACATATTTTGGGGAGACAACAAGAGAATTCCTTCTGTTCCCCACATTGATTTGACTCTCAGGAAGAACAATGGACTGGGTGGGAGAATTCGGAAGGCGCTAAAAGAGCAGTGCCGAGCGGAGAAAGCAGGTGCTCAGGGAGCAGAGGCTCCTCAACCACAAGGTCTCTCTCTCTTGCCAAAGGAGTGCTTTGCTTGCATCCAAACAACAAAAAGCAATAGCAGGAAAGCCTAGCCAAGGAGACGGAGATGGAGAGCCCAAGGGCAGTTAGGCCTCCTGCTTTGAAACATTGAAGAGTATTTTGTTAGAATTCCATTTATAACAAAAATTATTTCCCCGAAGGAGCAATAGCAACACCAAAATCGTAATAGAAGCACGCCAAGCAAAATGCTCTTTGTAACAAAGTAGCAGAAATAAATGGGCTCCAAAGTATGAAGGGCTTGTACTCACATTGATGGATTCGATCTGGCCAAACTCTTCAAACAAGTTGGTTAAATCTTGCTGTGTCGCCTTCTTGTCCACCTGTCCAACCCAGAGGGTGGTGCTGCAGACTGCCAGGACAGAAACAACAACCACTCAGTCACATGGACGGAAGCTGAGTAACAGCCATTCTGACCAAGAAGAAACTAAATATAACATACCATCTTCAAGAAACCTGCATCTGCTCTATCTAAAATCAACTGAAATCTGAGGTATATGAGGGGCTCTTTAAAAAAAAATCCACATGGAAACTATCCATTTCTCTACAAACGTTATGAAGCCCTCTCATAAACTTACATCTATACCGGGTCAATTTCTTGAATATCACCTAGTCTCAAACCTGGCTCAAAGCCCTTGGAGATGCCCCGCTCAGATTCTTAAGCAGACTGGTTATCTGCGGGCAAACAGACTAGGAAATGAGATTTGGAAGGATTCCTTGAACCATTCTAATGCACAACTTCAAAACTGTGTTTCCTTACCATCCTCTTTGCATGCTTTTTTGTTATCTTTCTGAAGTGGTTAAGCTGCTGTCTCTCTGAAAGGAAATGTTCAATGTGAGAACAGAGGCTTATCCTAACCTAAATAGTAACAGCGGTAGCTCAATACATGCATGCAAAAGGGAATTTAAGGATAATGGAATTTTTCCACCAACTTTTAAAACTAGAATCCCTTAACTATAGAAAACCACTTCTTTCCTGTGGCAAGATTTAAACAGGAGAAATTTGGTCTTTCAAGCTGAATGGCCACTGGCTTCAAGATCTTCTCTTTATCCTGAGGATGCTTCAATACATTCATAACAGAGTATGTTTACAGAGTTTTAACATATTTGAATGTGTAAGAACAACAAAAAATGCCTTCCACACTTTTTAATTATAATAGGAAATGCCCTGTTGGCACAGCAAACTAAGCAATGGGCTGTTAACCTCATAGTTGACACTTCACCAGCTACTCCATGAGACAGGTATGGCAGGATCTGGCTGTTGTAAAGATTGGCAGCCTTGGAAACCCTCTGGGACAGCTCTGTCTGTCCTACTGGGTTGCTATGAATCAGTCAACTCAAAGCCCAGGAATGGGCTTGAGTTTTTTAAAGAAGCTTTTTTTTTTTTTTAACTCTTGGGCAAATGTATCCCGTACTAAGATGACCATTCCAAAATTCCTACTAAATGCCTAAGGTTTTCAAGTCTGTCCACTTGGTCTGGGCAGAAGTGGGCCATTCCCTCGCTTTAGGAAGTATCCCTCTGGCATACAGGCCCAGCAATCATTGCGTCCCTACTAGCTGTTCTCTGTCCCTAGGCATATACAGTGGCTTGTTGAGGACATACCCCCAGGGGACCCTGTCATGTGATGATCTTTTAAAAAGGAGTGGCAGGTTGAGAGAAAATATGGAGCATATGAAATGCGTATTTCCTCAAAAACAGAGCCTGAGAGTTTTGAGGTAATAATTGGAAGACATACTTTTTGCAGTTTTTTCTTATGTCATTCCTAGGTTTGTTGTGGTTTCTTTTAACTGTGTTTATCAACCATAAAAATGGAAACAGTAATATTAAGTAGTCATGGTCAATAACAATGTAACCAGTAACAGGCACAACTTCGAGAACCTAAGTGAGGAAATAAACCACACTTCACGTCAAAATCCTAACCACTAAATGTCTGACTGTCAAGGTCCTGCTGGTACTCAAGCGGGCAGCGAGAGATTTTATGATCAGACTTTTAACATGCTATCTGCATTGACCAGCCACTAAAATTGGCCCCTTTCAGAGCTAGAAATACCATTATTATTATTGCTTGAGGATTTAATCCGAGAAGATTCTGGCAAGATAACCACAGTATCGTTAAGTTGCCAGGCCCTAGTAAGAAGACACTGTCCACTTTGACCACAGGTACAGCTTCCAAAGAAGTTAAAAACATTATGAATTATAATCTTTTAAAAATATACCTCCTTAGCAGAAACTATTGATTTGAAGACTTTCAGACAGTAGATGTCCTGATCAATACAAAGATATACTGAGGGGAAAAATGACAGTTTGCTCCATTGTATGTACTCTTTTCTTCATTGTGGTCTGCTGGTTCCCTTTAAAGTCAAAACCCTCTAATATTTTCTAACTATAACTCAATTCCTGGTGCCTCCCATTCTATCTGGAGACTTCTCCACCTAACACTAACCCTGCCACTATGAAATCTATTCTAATCACGCAGGTTCAGTGAACACAGAAAGGAAAGGGGGAAGATCTCCTTCTGTGCTGCGGGGCCAATATGTATGGAACTTGCTTTGGATGCTAACACCAATCAATATATTTCACCTAAGATTGGCTCCTCCCAGCCTGCTGGTTTATAGCTGCTCAGCAAATAGTGGACAAGAGGCACAACTTACACATATGGGCCCTGGTCTGGGCCATCCACTGTGTATCTTCAGTCAATTCTCAGGTTTACTACTTTGTGTTTTAAAAAACCTCAACCTTTAAAACATCAGTTTTTAAATGAAACTCACATATTAAAATGCTCTTTAATTTCACTCCTTCACATTATAAAACACAGAGGAGAAAAGGATTTGTCAAACAATTTTCAACTACTTGGCCTGAAAATGAGGCTGGGTGTATCTGCCCCCAGAACTGCTTTGTTAAATGTGTGTGCTACTTACCGCTCAACGTCTTAGATCTAATTGGCGGTAGCCCCTTTTTCTGCCGCTCCTTCTCTCGTTCTCTGGCTCTCCTCTCACTGGAGTATGAGCGTGAAGATTTCCTCTTTCTCTCTCTTGAGCGGGAGCGGGAGCGTTTCCTGTGCTTGCGCTTTCGAGAGCCAGAGCGTGACCTAGACCTTCGTTTTCTGGGTGATCTACCAAAAATAACAGCAATAATGTATACATTATTTGATTTCAATGGAGAGTGTTAACCTTCTGTCAAATGTCTTATGTGCCAAAAAAATAAAACAGAGTATCGTCTAAAAAACTTTTTGGATGTTTACTCAAGTATCAAAAGTGCATTTTCTCAAATCTATGTGCTTCTCAGGTCCACATGAATCATAAAGGTATAAATGTTTGTGAGTGGTAAATCTTAAGAGTCACAGTGATATAACTCAAAGAAAGAAGGGAATAATGAGATACAAAAAGCAGGTCCCACTATGGCTTATTATTTCCCCCCTCACAATTCAAATGGAAGTCAAAAAGAACAATGAAAGACTGAAAAAATACAGAGTCTACAGGTGACAAAGATACTAAATTATTAAAATAAGGATGCAGAGCATTCCCAGAGAATGAAAACACTCAATATACGAAGCCACTAAGTAGTGTAAAACGTTTTCATATTTAACTTCACAATACAAGACACAAAAATACTTTTGCTTCTTTTCCTTGCTATTTTTATTACCATGAAATAAAAAGATACCAACATGGGAAACAAGCTGAATTTCTAACTTTGTTCTTCTATAGCTTGACTGGCTGCTACTGCTAAGGAGTCAATATCCTGAGCTCAGTAAAAGAATTATATTATTCACTAAATAAGGAAGATTAATCCAAGTTCCCAATCACATGATATGAATACTACTCTGTGAATTATTCAAATAAATGACCAAAAATGTATGTAGTAAAAAACAAAAATGAAGATAACTCTTAATAAAATTCTTAAGTATCACTTTCTGAGAATGTAAGAAAATATTTAATTACAGAAAAATAGCGTTTCTTTAAAGTTGATGCAAAGATACAAGATCAGTGTGATGCGTGCCACACTCACACACGCACACAGCTGGTATTAATAATAACTGTAGGACCTTGAACGTGTCCGGGAACGTGTTCTTGATCTTGAGCGAACAGCTACTTTCTTCGCTTCTTGCTCACAAATCTCCTCCTCCACTACATCTTGCCCTTCATCTATATCCATGTCCTTCAAAGGCAAGAGACAAGGAAAGGAAAGGTCTGGCTAAGAGTCAGTATATATGGACAATAATTCAAAAATATTCACCAAGCATTGATGAGTAATAGGTAAAAAGGTTAAAGAAAAGCTTATATGCGTGTGTGTACTGGGGGAGGGTTAGGGTTGTAGTTAGTATGCTATCCTCATACAACAATGTAAATTTTCTCTTTCTCACTTTAACATTAGAAATGAACGTATGGCCCAGATAAGTCTTCTCTTACCTGTTGCTGAATATCTATGGAATCGTCCAAATTTGGCTCAGGCTCAAGAAAATGCTGCTGACTGCTCCCTTGTGATGGGGAGGCTGAATGCTCTGACCCAAACGTTCCCTCTTGACTATCCTGAGGGGTTGCCTATCAAGACAGAACACATATACACAACCATGAGGAAATAACTATGTTTATTATAAATCAAAATTGAAGCACAGGTCACTTGCTTAATGTACTCAGAAAAGATCACAATTACATATTTAAAAATCCCAATCCATAAAGAAACCATGTTAAATACTTTATAAAGTATCCTATCTAAAATTTCACATTTGTATAAATCCTAGTTTATTGAAAAGTGTAGAAAACTATCATAAAAAGGAATTTTAACTCACTACCATCAAGTCAATTCTGACTCGTGGCGAAAACTAGACAACTGAATGAAGTACAAGACGCAGCAGAGCTTCAAAAAATGTTTTTAACTGTGAAAATATGAAAATTTCAAAGATTAATAGAAAGAGCTACCTCATGAAAGGCATGTATTAGCACTCACTTCAAGAAATATAGAATCACAATGATAATAAGATTTAATAAAATGCTATAAAGTTCAACAAATTATTTTACACTAAAAAATGTTATGTGTATAAAAGCTACTAAGCAGGGTATTATTCTAGCAAAGCCGTGCTCAACTTTTATAACTGATTTCAATTATTTTTTTAAATAACCTTGATTAAAAGTAATAATGCCTTGACTACAACCTAAAATTTACTATTCCCTTTTAGCAGATGATATTAAGATAACAGCTTATGTAAAAGGGTTTCAAAAAGTCCATGGAAAAATTCTATTACCTGTTAATTCCATTTTTCCATGAATTATATGAAGCTCCTAGTTTCTACTTTGTACAAGGTATTTCTCTGCAGTAAGATTAAATATGTATTGCACTGAATACCTTATCTCCAAAATAAAACAACTTAAATGTAAGAGTGGAATCTCTTTTCATGTTTCAATGCACCTAACCAATTGGGACAGTGAAATGTTTACAAAAGATCAAAATATTTAAAATAAGGGGTACTCCCCCAAAATCAAAATTGGGCTGAGCTGAACGGAGCGTTCTTAGAACGCATTTTACCAACTAGGCGAGCATTGAGCAACTCACTCTTAAGTTAGTGCACCCAGTGGAGTTGCCTACGAAGGGTCTCTCTGATCACAGTGATTATTCTGGTAAAAGCAATTTTGCTCACAACTCGTTTTTTGTGGCTGTGAAATGTTGTTTCCTGCTTGGGAAAGATGCTGCAGAAACTGCTGTGATGTTGAACACAGCTTACAAGGACAGCGTTATGAGACAAACTCAAGTGGTTTTCTAGTATAAAAAAAGGTGAAATACTGATTGATAACAAATCTCGAAAGGACGAAAATGTCAACTTGTAGTGCATTTGGGGTTCCTTCCACCAAATTGGATTTTTAATTGAGCTTTCTATTTAGAGGTTCTAAAAAGATTGTGTAACAGTGCAACAAAAAAGGTTTGATTTGTGGCAGACGGGGAACTGGTTTTGCCACCAGAACAAGGTACCTGCTCACACAGCCATCTCAGTGTGCCAGTTTTTTGGGGGGAAAAACATGCCTCTCTTGCCCTACACACCTGACCTCAATCTGTGGGGACATCTTTTCCTTTCCTGAATGAAATGGGACATGACAGGAGAGCAATTTGATGACTTAAAAGAGGTGAAGAAAAAAATGGGAGGTGCTGTCAAATCATCCAAACATGAATTTGAAAATGTTTCCAAGAATAGAATCACAGATTTGACAAACATATTAAGTGTAATGGAGAGCACTTTGAAGGCGATATGGTTGTTTTGTAAAAAAATTTAAATACGTAAGTCTGAAAAAATTTTTCAGTCTTTTTTAAGGGATACCCTGTTACTTATACTGACAACATTAAATTGTTGGGGG